GTGTTAATCTTTCGAATATGGTTGCGAACAATAAGACACTCGTCAAGATCTGCAGTTGCAAAAAATAGAAATTGTTATCAACATCGGTAACAAAAAAACTGACAACTTAATTATTGTTTCCATTTTGAAAAGGAAAATAATGAAAAAAGTAAAATAAAGAAAAAAACTATACACGTCATGTTGGTTTTTATTATCATGCATATTAATAGTAGTAAAGCGTTACTCTTAAAGTTTTACTGGTAAAAGGGTACTTACATATACATTTGTATAAATATTTATTAATGTAGATAAAAGACAATAAAAATAGTAAATAATGACATTTTTATTTCAATAATTCTTTTAAAGGAGCTGTAAAAATCAAAATGTATTTATACAATAAAACTATTAGTTTAAAAACTTATAATTTAAATTTAAATTCTTAATACTCTTTTTTATATATATTATGTAAATAATTATTTTGTACTTAATATTTATTGAATTGTATAAAAATAGTTTTAAATTATTTTAGTTTATATATATTGATATATTTTATTTACATTGATAAAAAATATTAGTTTATGTTTTTTGTTTTGCAATTAAAAATGTTTATTTGGTTAAAAAAAAATTTATGATATTTTTCATATATTATTAAATTTCAAAGAATTAATGTAACATCGGTTAAAAATTTATACTTTTTAATCATTAGCATTTTATAACCAAATATTGGTATTCTCATGTATTGTACTATAATTTATGTAAATAACAAATAATTCATTATTGTATCTTTTGACTTATATAATATCAGCGAATATTTGTACAAAATATTAAAATTTAAAATGAAAGTCTTAAATATTAAAAAAGAATTGTTAATATATTCATATAAGTACACCGTTGTTCAGTATTATATATATGTGTATATACAATATTGCTTTTGAGATCATGTTAAATCGATGGTTACATTTAAATATATTTTTTTACAATGTTAAAAATTTATAATTCTTTTAACACACTCAAACTTTTAGGCTTATAAATCTTAAAAAATGTTTACAATAAAACAAATAATATTATTATTATTAATTCATTAATACAATTTCTACAAAAAATATTAGTAATTAAACTATATGTAATAGTTTGCAAACTGCATTAGTTTATTGAACTATATAAATAGGAATTACCGAACATTAAAAAGTTTCAATATTAAATATTGTAAAAAAATATATAATTATATGATTATAATTATATATAATCTCTTTCATCTACAAAAATAATATATTTACATCAATTTAGTTAAATTTTGTTAAGGGAATAATGATTAGAATCGCACTATACATTAAATTAATTTGAGTTCTATAAAATTATTTATTCCCCAATCTAATAAAATATAATTCTATTAATATGAGCAATAATTTACACTATATAGAAATAATATAACAATGTAAAAAATACTAATTCTGTGTATTGTGAATATACTCGTATTTTCTTGCTTGTTGCTTTCTCATTCGGATTAATCATTATGAATTAATTAAAATAAATAATTTAAAGAAACAGTTTTAAGCATATCATTGAATTAATGTTAATTATAAAATCGATTCTCCACTTTTTCTGCATTGTGAGAACACAGATATAGTTTAAATCTAATAAACTAAATTTACGATTCATCTTGATTTACATGTTATAGAAAACTTAAAAAGCGGTTGCCAAGATAGATATTCTTATTAAAGAATACTGCTTTTTTATGGAAATTTTACATTCAAATATAATAATTTTTCTTGCTTGAAGAAGCTTTAAACATGAAAATACTAATATCTTATAATAAATTTCTAATAAGATAAATCGTATTAACTATTCTAATTCACGCTATTTATCAAATGCATAAATATATCTCATACAACCATGTACAGATAAAAGCAATCGATACATCATGTGAAAAACATAAATTATTTTCAAAACAAATGAAACCATTAAAAAATGGAAATATTGTATAAATATTTAAAAATACTGAAAACTTTTTTTATACGACAAAGATATACATAACTTTATATAAATAAAGTAGTACCAAATTCTCAAAAATATAAATATTTTTAATTTACTTAAATGATTGTTTATGTTTCAAATATTATTATAAATGTCAAATAGAGTTGTTGAAAATCTAAAAGGATGCGTAGAGTTTCTCTGGATTCATAATACAAAGCGAATGAATATATTCACGAAAACAAGATAAAACTTATAAACTTATTTAATTTTAACTTTATTTTTAATTTTTGAAATTTTATTTTACTTTCTCTTAATTGTAAAATAATATTAATTACATTATTAATAGTAGTAGTGGTAGTAGTGTACAGGTAGTAGTATGTCTATTATATGGATTAGAGTTCGACCCTTGTTTATTATATTATATATTATAAAAATTTGGTCATATGCAACAAGAATTTATGAGTTAAATAATCCTTATAATATTAAAAATAGAAAGCATAAAATTAAAAAAATACCGAATGCTAATTATTATAAATATGTTTAATTTTTCATTTAATAGAACTTAATTTAAAACACTTCATTAATTCCACAATTGAATACTTTTTAATTAATATAATCATTCGTAAAGAAACACCAAAATGTTTTTGAAAAAATAATTAATTTAATAGAATTTTAAAGAATATTTAAAAAAAATGATTATAAAAAAATAATTTTTAATAAAAGTTGATAATAAATTAATTAATAAGATACATTCTAGACAAATATAGGTAATATATTTATTGAAACACTTTAATACGCAATATTTTTTATAGATGATATCAGATGAAGACATATTTTTGGCTAAATCGTTATAGACTATATGATTATAGTAAGTAAACCAGACTAAAGTATTAATTATAGAATTATTTATATAGTATTTATACGGCCTGTACATATGTACTTTTTATAATGAAGGAATTTCTTTATAATATTTTTCATTGACCTTGTGATAATTAATTAATTATAACTAAGGTACATATAATATTTTATATTTAAATTAATATACTTTTTTTTCATTACCGAGAGAACTTGCTTAAAATTGAGTAAATTTAAAATCTGATATTAGTAAACATTAAAATGATTAATTCATAAAAAATATAATTATGTATATATAAAAATTATATATATATATATATATATATACCTATATGTGTATGTGTGAACACTAAATACGCCATATAAATTATAAATAATTTGAATTATTAGATTATTTATCTTATTATTAGTATTATTATTATATATAGACATAAAGTATATTTTCATAATTTCTAATTAATATAGATATTAATTTTCAAATTACTCATCCTAAAATATTCTTAATATCTTTGATCGTCACAACTAAATAATTTTATATTTACTTGATTATTTGAATTTATTTTATATAATGATTATATTTTTTAATATATTAATACTATATAACATTTAATACATTTTTATAGAGTATTTATTGCAGCAAATTTTCTAAGCATTTCTTAATATTATAAGAAACAAAACAAAATTAATATCGAAATCCCCGTTGAGTCATAAATTAGTTAAGATATATTTTATAAGAAAATTTTATTATATGTGATAATCCTAAAGTGTTGTTGACAAATTAAAAGTAGCAAAAAATACTTTATTAAAAATTTATTAAATTTATTAAAAAAAAAGTTACTTTTAGTTCATAACTCCCTCGTTGCTGAAATGTATTGTATAAATTCAATTTTATTTATTAGGTAATTTATAAAATAAACTTAATGTTTAAGTATATTTATGTATCATAAAATGTTATATTGAAAAGTAAATATCTTAAAATAATTTTAGAATTACACGTGTTTTTATTTTGTATTAATTTTATTTTAAAAATTATGTATTAAATATAAAAATAAATTAAAGTATAAATTAAAATATATATTGAAGCTACTAATAAATCAGAACATATGGTATAACGAGTTTATTCATTTAATGACGTTATTAAAAATGTTAAAAAAAAGGTAGCCACTGCAAAATATAAAATACTGTTTTATTAAAATCTGAAACTTTAATAATTAATCAGAATAAACGGATTCTATTGAATCTTCATTACTTTTTCCACTTTTATTCTGTTAATATTGAAAGATTGTTATTTTATTATCAGTAATTCGCAATTTGAAAACTAATCATAAAGCACTTGATTAGAGTATTATATGAAATTTTGTAATATTAAACTGTGTATTGAACTTTTATTTATACATTTATCATTTTCTTTATGTGTAATATTTACGTAGAATATCACGCATATTGTACAGTAGACTTATGTATATTATACAATGTAAATAAGTTATATATACATATATATATATATAAATATACGTAGATAGATAGTTTTATAAAGAATAACAATAAATAACTATAAATTTATTATTTATCAAAGGTTTTCAAATTTACTCTATAATTTTAACAAAAAATTTTAATAATAAAAGACTATCTATAATATGTTATCATTCAAATCTTATTAATTTACGTTTATCAATATTATTTTTTCCAGTGGAATATAAATTAAATAGAGCAATACTTAACAAATTTTTTAGAATCGTTTAATTAGAATAATATTTTGTGTATATATAATATATTATCAACACAAAATTGAAATGAAAAAGATTTGTTGATAGTATTATGTTAATGTAAAAAATGTTCATTTACTCAAATGCTGAAATTTGTTTATAAGTCAATATTAAGTATAATATAGATATAAAATTAAGATTTAAAAAATTATGTTTATGATTAATACATGGAATTATATGTATTTCAACAGTTATTAATTATTTTCTTTATTTAGAGGATTATTCGTTAAATTCATTAGGAAAATTTTTGTATTTTAAAATTTAAAATACTAAGTACTAAAATATTTCTGTAGCTACCAATTAAATATTTAAATTGAAAAACATATATTAAATAAATATAAAATCTCATTTATATTACTACAAAATTTGTAAATTACAGAAAACATATTTATATTTTAGAATTAATTATTTGCAGAGTTTCATCGTCTCCAATCTATCTAATGCATCACATAAATATCTCGAATCTAATTTGCAATATATTGTCAGTCTCCTTCTAAAAGAAATCACGGCAATTCTGTCATCACAAGTCTTTTAAGTTTGATTAGCCAAAGTTTGATACATTTGACATGGTCAGGGTTAAACTTGATTTGCGGTATATATGAGAATGGGCTATGACCTTTAACGTAAGAAAAATACGCCAAGTAACTAATCCCCCACTTAAATAGTTTTGAGTGGAAAAATTTAAGTAGGAGGTACTAAAGTAAATGTAAGATAAATTGAAGGCTTGATACTCTTTAATATAGATCTCTTACATATTGAAAATAAGGCCTCTGTAGGTGGTCATTCCAAGACTAGAACTGGTCAGTGTAGGAGCAAATAAAGTTTTGCACTGACCGTACCTAAGGTACGTTGATTACAAAATATTTGAATATGAAATTTGTTTCTAAAATTTTTAATTTTATTTCTAATTTTATTTAATAACCGTTATTACATATATATCATCTGAGAATTAAAGTATATAAATTAATGAAAAGAAAAAATTTTGCAAATGTTTTATAAATATTGTATATTTACAATACTTTAAAAATAAGTTAGACAATATATACAATTTTTTTATATTACAGAATTAAATATAGAAAAAATTTTATTTTTTAGGTTTTAAATACTTCATTTATTTTATATGGCTAAAGAAATTAAATATGAAATATTCATACTTTAATTCTAACCAATGGTGATTATTAATTAAAATTTAAATTAAAATTCTTATTGTTTATTTCTGATAATACATAATCAAAATTAAAATATTTAAATTAAAAGTACAATTTTATTATGTTTAATTTTTATTTTAATAAAAAATATATTTAAAAAATTTTTTTTAATCATTTTAGTAGTACATTAATTTGAAAATGCAGTATGATAGTTTTATATATAAATACTTTTGAGTGATTATTATTTTTAACAAAATTTTATTTTATTTTAACTTTCAAATATAATATATAAACGTAATATAGTAGAAATTAAATGTTTGTTTATTTATGTATTTATTATGGAATGGCAATGTGTGTGTGTGTGTATGTACACTTGAATGTATGGTATGTTTGCGAGTGTGAATATATAACTTTATTAAATAATATTAAAAAGAAAAATGATAGAAATAAACTTTATTTTATGAAAATTAGTATCGTAAATCTATAAATACTTGTCTATAGATTTCTATAAACTTTAAATATATAGATATCTGTCTTAGGCACAAAGCTACAAAACTTTAAATTTATATAAAACATTGTAAAACTGAACTTGACTAAATATGCAAATAAATAAGTAAAAAAACTTATAGCAAGCACTTAATTATGAAAAATTTTATGGTATTATATGATATGCATTATTAACTATCCAAAATATCTATCAATGAATACACGTTGAATGTTATAAATTAAATTTTTCAAATGTTTATAAATATTTCTAATTAATAAATGAATTTCATTTAATTATTTTTCAAGTATATAATTATTTTAATCAAGAATTTGATTTTAAATAAATTATAAAAGATAATCAAATATTTTAGTGTTCAACTTGATTGTATTTAAAATATTAACAGTTAGAAGATTTTTTAAAAATAAACATAAAAATTAAATATAATTATACATTACATTTAAAATTTAAATCTTATCTATGTATTAAATCAAAATAAGATTCAATAATATCTTATATTTGAAAAAATTATAGTTTATTTATAAAAAAAATTTAATTATTCAATTATATAAATGTTTGTTTTCTATTTTAAAATAACTACAGAGAATTGTTTTTAAATAGTACGTAATAATTAGAACCAACATCATTTATAATTATTTCAGTAAATAAGCTAAGTAAACTAAGAATTTTATTCGTCGTATTACTTAAACAGTTAATTAAATTCAGTGACTTTTATGTATGTATTTTATTTTCATCATTAACACTAAAAAATATATAAAGATTGTTACAAATATATACGAATTGTTAAATGCATTGAAATAACGAAATCGAGGCCAAATAAACTCATAAATAGCCACACTCATACCTAAATCATTTGAACCTTAATTTAGCTGAGCACTGATCGATCGATTTATCGAGTCTAGGCGCACTAAAACTAATTATTGTATTGGCAAGAAAATAAATTATTAAACGACGTTGTCATATTTGTAGATAATAAGTTAGAAATATGTGGGACGATGAATCATCTCCATGGGATACTGAAGATCCTGGAGTAGATGAAGGCAATGAAACAAAAGAAAATGGAATCACTACTGATACTACTTCCCTCGAGTCTTGGGATTTTAAAAAGGCTAATTTGCCCAAGGCCAATAAGCCGCAATATACTCTTCATTGGGTTCGACCACTTTATCTCAATTATCATTATCTTTATAATTATCGGTAAGTTAATTATGGTGTCACATCAAAACATTTGAATGTTAATTTCTTTTTATAATTTTGAATTGAATAAATTACTTTGTAACATTTAGTCGAAACCTATTTTATTTTAATCACTAAAAATTTTAAGAACCAAATTCAAATTATTTTATATTTTTTACTAAATGTAGTGTAAAATCAGGTTTAAAATTAGGTTAAAGTCAATTGAATTACTAATTTTGTTTGTATTACAATGAGATTCTGAAAAAATTACTACCAAATAAAAGCATTAATGATATGCTATTTATGAAATAAATTAAAAAACAATTATGCATAATCTTTCTGTTCGATAATTATTTTATTATAAATTAAAGCCTAATGCTAATTTTATTATATACTCATATTGAAATTATTAGAATTCACCTAATTAAGGCTTCGTTTATTTTTATTTTCCTGTAATGTCATCATTTTCTTCATTACATCATTTTTAAAAACATAAAATATGTTCAAATAAATTACACTTTCTCACTGATCACTTTTTTATTAATCCAATTTTTTTATTAATTTTTAACACGTTTAATATTCACGTTTAATAAAAAGCAAGAAATGATGGGTTATAAATTATTTGTAAATTTATACTGAAATTTATATATAAATAAAAATATAATCACATAAAATGTTATAGATAGTGTTAAAGTTATGCCCATTAATAGAAATATATTAATTGCTTCTTTGAGTATATAATTTATATTATTTTTAAGGTATTTTTTTAATATTTGAATTGATTGTATACTATGATAGTGTCTATTAAATATTTCAATTAATAAAAATAACAATTTAATGTTAAATATGTTAAGAAATATCTGTTAAGTAGTCAATATATCTGAGTTGAAAATGGAATGTAAAGAAAAACAAGAAAGTATATATTATAATGATAAATTCTTTTTTATTGAAAGAGCACCGCCATATATAATTGAAAGTATTAAATTAAAGTTTGTCAAATAAAATTAAGAAGAGATCGTTCTACGATTTTTTCACAACAAATTTCACTCAGACATTATCATGAACTTTCATTATCGGATGGAGGATATTATCAATAGAAAATATACAAAGAACACTAAATTACATTCTTACTGATTATACTATATTTAATCAAATTTAAATATAACATAATTGCTTCAATGTTTTATAGTTTTCTTAGATTCCTTTACATTATATATTTAATTCTTATATTTTAAATAATTTTACATTAGAAATAGTAATTACAGGATAATTCCAATACAGTATTTTGACTAATAATAAGCAATTTATAACAATTTTTTAATATTAAAATTTTAGTTTAAAAAAATATGATTAAGAATAAATTTATAAAAAAAACAGTAATACGCTATTAATTTTGAAGATTTTATGTATATTAAATTAAATTAATGATACTTTTATTTCTCAAAAATTAACTCATAAAGAATACTACGATAAATAATATAAAATTGTATAAAATTATTTTTAACAGGCAAAATTATTATAACGACGTTATTGATTGGATGGATAAAAGAAATAAAGGATGTTATCGTGAGATACCACGTGCTCAAGAATGGGCTGAACGAGTTATAAGAACTTATAATGAAAAGAATATTGAAAAAAGCTACAAACGCTCATCAGATATGCGTTTGCTAATGGATTGTAAACCAGTAGCACGACATTATAGTTATCATACACGAGCTTATTATAGTCTCAAATATCAAAAAATTCTTTAAACATAAATATTAAAATTAAAACATTAAGAAAAAACTTCTTAATTACGAAAATAAAATTACATAAAAAGAGTATGAACATCAGAATACATGAATATATATCTTCTATATTCATAAATTTATAATACTATATACTATGATGTTTAAAAGAAAATGAATAATTTCTGGGAAAATTTTATTAAAAGTACTAAATTCATGATTTTATGAATTCAAATTTTTATTAAATATTCAAAATATTTATATATAAATAAGCTGGAATTTATTTTCAAATATATTTATTTTTTTATATCTGGTTACATCTATGAATGTAAAAATAAAACGAATTATTAAAACTTCTATTGCTATAGAAATAAATTATGATTGTACACAATACAATTTTATTAAGATTAAAATCTTAAATTATTTTTTATGCTATAAATAAACATTTTTAAAATGTCAATAATCAGCATTTTATATTCTTCGATTTTTATTTATAAATGCTTTTAACTAATTTACATAAAATTCCTTCGTATAATATTAATTTTTATTTTTGTATTAAACATTCATTTATTTTTTGTTTATTTAATTAAATTTTTAATGTCACTATATCGTTAATAGAAGTTACAACTTGTATGAATTTTTATGAATAAATATTATCAACAAATTATGCATTTTATTTTATTAAATTTATTTACAAAAATTTTACGATCACATATTTTATTTATATATTTTTTGCATATACATATACATACAAAGCCATAAGCATTGAAAAATACTTTCTTTTAAATTAATGTTAAATTAATTTTATTATTTGACAAAACTATTTTTATTTAGTAAATAATTTATTGTTAAAAATTTAAGATAAATTAGTATACGGACAATATTTGTAGTAAATTAACATATTACCTAAAAATAATTTTCTTGATTCTGTACAAAATGTATCCACTAATCCGGCACATTTTACCAAGACCGGTTCGAGGGATACAAAATTGTTTATGCCGTTGATAACTCAGAGACCACGAGATGTTATGTAGTAGCGATGTTTGGTCAAGTGGAAGGGATAGTGTAATTAATTCAATATTAATACATCTAGTTATTACTCTGTTTATTTCGTTAATTTTCAGATACAGGGATGATTATTATTACTCTTATTAATTGTTGAACTCTTGTTAGGCAGATCGCGCTTTTCGGTGGTAAGCATACTTTACCAGAGGTAAATAGATATAGTAATGTTGCTTCTCTTCACGTAGTACATTGATGTTACTCTCTGAGAAGTGATTCCAGATGTACTAACCTTCCCGAACTTCAACGACCGAGAGAGGTGTTTCTTAGAAGTTATGTCCGTTCAATATTTCCCTTGACATAATAGCCGTTGGGATTTTTCTCCAACTAATAATATTCGAGAGATTCTCTGAATCTTGAACAACTCCCCATATAGCTTCTGCAAGCAATAGAATAATTATGATAATGATTGTTTGTAGTTTTACATAATTATTAAGCTTTTCATTTTTACATTTCAATATATTTTTCAAAACTTTGCTATTAAGATTCTCTCTAACCATAAAATTGAATTGCATAATGTTTCACTCTATTCTAATTTAATGTTGAACTTCTATTATATTTATCCCGAAAATTATATTTTTTTAATCATTAGGATAATGTTCCAAATATTTTCATTTTAACCTCGATTATGTATTAAATACCTTGATTGCTTAATTTATTTATTTTTATAATTTTCATTTTTGTTTTTTGTTTCTTTTATGTTTAAAAGAATTTTGGTTATTGATTTTATAACATATTAATTATATAACATCATGTATTAACGCTATCTTTTTATTATATATAAAGATCCGAGATATTGATATTGTCAAATGCGCATGTATAACGTTATTTTTTCTTTAAACAAAAGCCACTCCTACTGTTCAAGATTGGAGTATCTCCCAAGAACTTTAAAATTGGAGAAGTATAAGCCTTTTGTGTTCGTAAACATTGATTCTGTATATTCTCGAATATTCTACGCCTTATTTTCGAGTGTCCTACAATATTTCCGCATGGCAACGTCGATTGGAAATTCTCAAAACTTCTAAAGCCTTGTCTTTCTGGAATCCTCGAATTTTCTAGAGTTTTAATCTCTGATTGTTCGAGAATGTAAGAATACTTCCAGCTCATTAGACATCTGGAAAACTCGAGATAAGTGTTCCGGAAAAAGCAAACCCTTGATTATCTAAAGAAAAACAATTCATAAACACATCCGGCGAGAATATGTGATCAAGTGTCTAACGAAACACGTCATAAAATTAATGCGACTAGAAATTCGACGCGACCACGCCATAAAGTATCCATCGAAGACAAGCCATAATACTTCTGGCATAATCAAGTCATAAAAATATAAGCAAAAACCACCTCGTCTGACATCCGAAAAAGGGATATTAAAGGCAATACTGCACGCATACGCTGTTGTCAAACCCAGCTACATGCGGTTTGGATAGTGAAGCGAGAACATGCCAAAGACGTCCCCCTTATGGTGGGCATGCGCTGATTGGAGCCGTCAATAATGAAAGAATCAATTCGATTGGAGACGCCCAGAAAGAGGAGCTCTGATTGGAAACGCCAATGAGTCAATTCGTAAAGACCATGCGGTGGCCGAGACTGCTTTTAAGAAAGACGCCGGCAAGGCGCACCAGAGTCTCTTCAAACAAGAGAAGCCGGCAAGGCTTCTTCTCCAAAGGAACGCCAAATAACAAGGATGCAGACATACATAGCAAAGGCCGATTAAGAGGCAAAGCTTAGTCATATCCAACTCATAACAAATGCAAGGTAAGTGCAAATCAAATCATACACTCGCAGCAGTGCAAGACAAGGAAAAGGGAACAAGAAAACAGTGGTGCACAAAGCACAACATAATCATAATCTATAAGGAGCCGCTCGAGGCAAATTCAGCAAACAATACGAGGTATAGCCAGAAAAACAGAAAGCATAAACTACAAGTTACCGCACGAGGCACAACCTGCAGACATCACTAGCTGCCATCAATAGCACAAAATCTGCAGAACTCACAAGGTAAAAGTTCCATTCCTTAATAACGATAATAATACACAAAATGCCTCAAGGTAAAGAACTGTAGAGCGACCAAGCTCACATAATCTGCAAAAGCATAAGGGGCAAGTTTAGTTCCCACGAGATAGACTTACGAGGCGCCACACGCGGCAATATCTGTAGACTAAGATAAAGTGCTACCAAGAGCGCGCCTGCAGAGCCTTCAAGGTAAGCAATAAGATAATAACAAGGCAAACTCAAGCTACTGCCACGTGTCACTACATAAGGAAGCACGGGGGTTTACGACCTTGTTCTTCTACGTGTATAACTCCACCACCGCGTGCATTACATATAGAGGACCAGAAGGTTACGCCCTTCTACCTGTACATGCAACGCACATTACATCTCTGTGGCAATAGCAATACAAACTCAAGAAACGAAGGCGTTCAACATAAACTAAAAATCATTATAATACAGCTGATGCAATTATCGCAATAAACTATAACAAATACCAACGCTATTTATTATTGAATACATGCACTATCCTGTCCACTTACCTGCAATCCTCCCTTCCGCCATCTGGGAGTCTACACCTAACTTTAGATATTTGGCCCTCCTAGCCCGGTACGCTATTTTTAGACACTGATGTTAGCAAGACTTTTGGCATAGTAATACGTGTGTCAGCTAGGCACACGATGAACCACTTTCTCTCGCAATGAAGCTCTCTCAGTGAAACCGTCTAAGTGAAAACACCATGGTACGGATCACGGTCTGTCTTAGCAGGACCGCCATGGAACACTCCCTCACTTCACAGCAGAGTACGAATTTACACGAAGCAGTGGCAGATTCAGCACGCGGCTCTACTCGAAGAAGTGGTAAAAGCTTTACAATCTCTTACTTCCCAGGGTAACCGACTAATAGTGCACTACGTCACCAGGATCCGGAAACTTACAACCTCCTGCCTCCGAACGAAGCGCACAATAAGGCTAAATGTCAACTGCCACAGAACCCCAAGAGTTTATCGATTGAATTCATCTACAAGAATCATTCCTTTATTTGAAAATTAAACGGAATAAACACCACAATGAATAGATGTGTTAAATATTTTATAAATACGCTATCCCTTCCACTTACCCGCACATTTCTCCGACATAACACCTCGTAGTCTTTTAGTTAATTCTAAACACGTACATATTAAATATAATGTTTTTACTGGTATATGTTAAGTACGTATGTATGTAGATTTATGTATATTAATTAATAATTATGTAAACAATTGCATAGTATAAGTTTTTGCTAGACATTCTTTGAGCAAAAATATATGTGCTATATTTACAAGTTTAGAGACAAAATTAAGAATTAATAGAGGTAGTTATTAAGATAAATTACTTCTACAATAATTGTATTAGCAGAAATAGCAACTCTACTTATTTTCTTACCAGAATAATTTATAATGTATAATTTTTTATTGAATTACCCAATGATGTGTTCGAAATTGCGAGAACATTTTTCTTGCCACAACTTCCCACGGTCGTTGGACACTCGAGAAGGCCAATACATCTGGAAAACACTCGTGAATAGTTAGTTATTTTATTTATTCTCGCATATCTAAAAACGTGGTCATGATTTACTGAGATTCTCGTCATCTCAGCAAAGGAGACAAAAGAAAGTTCAAGTGCAAGCAGTTCGTGCATGGAAACTTCCCATCAAGACTGTGTGGAGAAACTGAAAATATCACATTACAACTTCTAAGTAAGTCCTTACCTATAGTTTTGATTTTTCACATCACGGTTTACTAAAAAAACGGACCGCAAGTCGGATTAGTGGAATCAGAATCCAGAAGCTTCCCACGTATGCTCACTATGCAAGACCAGCAATTCGCGCCATACAGTGGCGCGCATTTCCTCTAACCTCTATCTTAGGCACGTGCTCACTCACACATCGCACTATTCAGAGGCAACTGCAGCATATGTCAAGATCACGACATAAACAAGAATTGTAGTGTTCGTTCAGAGGAAATTCAAATTGGAAATAAATTGGAAATAAATGGAATAAACAGCAATAAGAATTATATATGTCAATTATTGAATCAGTGCATTAACCCTTCCACTTGCCCACGCATTCTCCCACACAACATCTAGTAGTTTTCAAAATTAATTCTACACGTTTGGTTCCTGAGCCGGATTAGTGGAATATAATTTTTATACATTTTGGTCCTTTGAGCCGGATTAGGGGAATTAATTTTTATACTGATTAAGAAAACAAATTAATTTAATTTATATATAGTATATATGCAATAAAAATTTTTATGTTCATGATGTTCATATATTTAAATTAGTATGATCTAATTTTTTATTCATTTATATTTATTCTTAATTTGATCACACAATTACATATTTACTATAATAGAGCTCGTGCATACATAATGAAAAAGGACATTATTAAGAAAATAATTCCACAATCTGACTCGTCAGCCAAACGTCCAAAAATCAATTTATAACAAAAAACCCACTAGATGTTGTGTGGGGTTGCCGGGCAAGTAAAGGGTTAATGTATCGATTCAATAATTAACACATATCTTTATTATTACTGTTTAATTAATTTATTTTACTTTATTTCCAATGGGAATTATTAACATTGGTGAAATTACAAATGATCTTTATATTTCTTAATAATCTTGTGGTGTTGATATATATCTGTTTATTGGATAATTAGAGGATAATCAATTTCTTATTCTCTGCATGTCACTGGTGAGATTATGATTTACTGTAACAAGAAGTAGGTTATAATCTATTGAATATTATCACTGAGAAGTTATGGTTATTGTAGTGCTCTGATCGAACATTACAATATTATTGTGTTTCATCTCAACACGTGTGCAGTTGCCTCTAAATACGGGTCGTATAAGAGCCTAAATAGAGGTTATGCGAAGCTGTGCGCCACCTATGACGGGAACAACTTATCGTTGGAGGGATTGAAAAGCCACTGTGGCGTCTGTAGCTGGTCTTGTCCTAGAGTATGCCTGGTAGACTTCGGTAGTTGGACCTTAATCCGTCCGTTTTCTACTTAAGCCGAAAAATCAAGAATCAGTACTAGCTGTAAGCACTTACTTGCAGTGTATCGTGATTTTTCCAGTCTCTCGACGTTGGCTTATTGTGAGTTCCCTTGCAATATTGCAACTCTTAAGTTCTTTCCTTATCTCCAAGTGAGATTACAAATGGTCTGATCCTATGCAATCTAGTCTTGATGAGATCAATTCAACTGTATACTAAATCGCAATCGTAGAAAGAACTTATTAAAACTCAGCTACACGACTTGAATCTCCGGTCCTCCTCCGTGTGAGTAACTCGTGACTTATCCTTCAATTGTGGGCGAAGTGTTAGAAAAGAATAAGTGGTGGTACATTACATTTTTCTATCTGAAATGCTTCACTGGTCCCACTCCACTAGGGGCCCCTTCTTCTTTTAATTAACCAATCAGAGGTCGTTCTTAGGCAGCACAATAGATTATGCACGCCTTCATCTTCACTTCCTTCCGAGCTCATTTCCGAATATGCTAATCAGAGAAGTGTCGGAAGTGGGGAGTTTTTGCTATTGGTCACCTCTTCTTGATCGCTTCTCCCTTCTCTGGGACTTGGCTAGATGAAGGGTCCTCTTGGGCGTGGTCATTTTCGGACGCGACCGACCAGATGTGACTCAGACAGAAAACAATGCAAGTATTGTTTTGATGGGTGTAAGCGCATGTACGGCTATTGCAAGTTGTCGCACGTGCGGGATTTTTGGGTTGCAAGGAATTTAAGAAATGTTTTGTACTCGATACTTCATGCATTGAGTGATATTCGTTCGGAATCTACTTTAGGGTTTTTCCCGGCAATAAACCCATTAGTTCCACTGCGCTGGAAAGACGCATTTATGACACGAGTGCGAAATAATTATGAGCAGGAAAGTTTTGAAGTCCTAATGTGAATTTTACGATGTTGCTTGCCAGATGTTTTATTGTATTGAAAAAGGGTCTCGCATTCTCAAACAGACATAAATTCCTTGTGTGAAAAAAAAAATAAATTAAAATAAAATAAAAATATATTAGAAAAAAAATAAAAAATAAATTAAATAAAAAAAATAAAACAGATTAGAAATAAAAAATAGTATTTAAGAATCAAATACACAAATCATTCATTTAAAAAAAAACAGTAAAAATCATTTGAATAATTATTCTATTTTTTATCAAGGCTGATTAATAATCTTTCCATATTAAAATTTTTTAAAATCATAATTGTTCTTTTAATTGAGATTTACATTGATTTGAATGAAAAATGAAATATGAAAAACCTTTTAATTATGAAAAATAGTTTGATATTGATAAACTTTATAATTCTCACTTTTATAGGTCCTTTGCTACTTTGTTAAAAAGGCTATATTTTTTACACAGAAATTAATTTGGTATGTCAATTGCAACTAATTTACCATATATATTACTGTTGGCAGTTTTGCCTGTAAATATTAGATATATGTCATTTTAGTACATCAAGACTTTCAAAAAGAAAAACTTGTTTCAAATTTGAGAACAGATATCTGCTAATTTTTTTATTAAATGATTCTATTGTAGTATAGAATAACTAAAGATATTACAATACTGTTTATAAATGCACTTTATAAATTTTAAAAGTATTCAAATTTATAATTATGATAATATAATCATCAGTGTATAAAATTTTATTTCTAAAATAATTTGAATATTTATTATTAAAATTATTCACAATCACTTTATATTAAATATTTAATTTATTATGTTTGTTTAACTAAAATTTGTATATATACATAAGATTATAAAATGAAATACTTAGTTTAACATTAAATTAAATTGATAAAATAATCAAATGTACTATTTTAATAAAAATTTTAAGTTAATAATATTATGAATACCAATACTTTTTTGTAAACATCTTATACATTATACCAAACTAGAAAATTAAAGAATAAAATATTATTTTATATAACACTAAATAAACTTTAAAATACTTTAAAAGAATACTTTAAAATAATCGGTAAAAGAATGTAAAAATTTAGACAGATATTAAAATAAATTTTTATTGCTAATTACATTCTTCTTGTTGTAAAGATACATTTTATTTTTTATATTCAGTATTTATACTTTTCTTTATATTTAAAAAACAAGCTCCATTTGAATTTGTATCTCCACTGAATATTACGCACATTAAACCATATAATTCAGTATGTTTCCAAAGCATTCTAATCCATTTATTCACAGAACTTAATGTCTTACTTAGGTTTTCTTTTGATAATTGCTTAGTTTTTAATTTAATATGACAAAAATTTAAATTATGCTGTATTGCATTTTCTGAACATCTAGTAATTGTATCGTTATTATTTTGAGTAATTATAAGTTTTACATTATCTCTTTTTTCAAAATTTTGATCTTTCTGAATGTATAACGCTGAATTGTTTGAGATTCTTGAATAGTCATTTACTATTTCATTAGATCCAAAAATTGCAGAAGTTTTTGTAAATATTTTGGAAACATGATTAAAAATTGAAGAACTTAAAATAGATGTTGATTTTTCATTTACATGACATTTTTCATATGTTTTAAAATAGAACTCATTTGAGTTTGAATGAAATAATTCTGTAAATACTGAATCACCAAAGTTCAGACTTTTTGCTAATTTTAATTTTACTAATTTGATTGAAGCTTTTGAATCTTCTATTGAGCAATGACCTTCTTTATTAATTTGTATTTGTTCATTTAAAAATGATTTTACAAGGACTTTTAATTTAGTTTTATGCGTTCTTTGACCACTTAAATTAAAAATAACAGATGTATCAATAATATAAGGATGCATCATTTTTAAAGCATTTAAATCCGAATTAAGACTCTGCCCTACGAGAATAGCGTCTGAAGGAAGAAGAGCCCTTATAGATGCCTGTACATCACATAACCTTGTTGTTACATTTTCTAAAATATTTTTAGTAATACCACTGTATTGAGTAAGATAATTAATAATTTTATTATATGGCTTAACAAATGTGTCATAAACAATATTTAATTCTTCATCTACAATGGATACTCTTGTAACTTCCAACATACCATTGATTGTTTGACACATTTCACAATCAAGACCAAACATTTGCGATTTTGAATGAACTTCATTATAAATATCTTTAGTTAAAATGTAATCTGGATAACTTTCAATAAATCCTTTTAAAGGTATTGGATAATTTTCTTCTATAAGTTGCCACGATGAAAGTAACAATTTAGTTCTTGAAAATTTATCATTTGAAGGTAATTCTTCATCTTTTTTGTTTATTTGAATTTTAAAAACTGAAATTTAAATAAAATAGAATGATAAGTAAATAAAAATATATTTAACATAAAAATATTAATAAATAAATATTCATACATGATTGAATTGGAAAAATTGCTTTAAAGCACTTTATTATGTTTCTATTATTTTGATATGCTTTCTCTAATGAACCAAATTTGTTTATAAGATAAGATTTTTGTGATATAGTAAGAGGTACATTAATAAGTTCTTCCAAAAATGAGCTACCACAAATTGATGAAGTTATAATTTCTAATTTATATTCCAATTTAGATGTTACATGTCGAAGTAGTGATTCATTAGATAAATAATGATCAACGGTTAATCCTTCAATAACAAAAACTATTGTATGTGAAATTTTATTGTATTTATCAAGTTTACACCATCTTTCTGGTAAATAAGGTGAATTATGTCCAAGTATGGAATATAGAAGTAAATTTTGAATATCATTATAATAAATAGGAATACGCTCTTGACTATTAATGTTTAATGATAAACTGGCACTTACACCTACTGACAATAATCGAAGTCGAGGAATTGATGAAAGTATTTTCTTTCTCTCACGAAGTCTATTTTTTAAATTACTAAAATCTTCTCCTAAAAGTGGTGGTTTAAAATCTTTCAAAGATGTTAACATTTTAACCATGCAAATAATATTTAAATTTTAGTTAATCACTTGCATGTTATATATATATATATATATATATATACATATATATATGTGTGTGTGTGTGTTAAATATATTGAATAATTTTTTATTAAAATAAAAATGTACATTTATACATTAATTACAAATTTATATAGATGAAGAACATATCTATTAAGCCAATAATTAAATAATGAATAAAATTGTAAAACACCTAATAAATTATACTGACTTAATAATAGTAACTATTAACTATTTTATTAATGTTATATTAGGACAGTTATGTTGATAACACGCCTTTTTAAAGCATGCGCAATTAATAACGTGGTTCAGCACCGGTTTAACATCGTAATAACATAAATGGCACAATATATACACATATAAATATAGTAATATTGCTTATTATATATGATATTTAATGAGGAAAAGGTAACGTTATATTATTGTATAGATTAAGGTATACAAAACTATAATATCTATTAAATTACATATAAAAAAAGCATGACATCAATATTTTAATAAAATATATATAAATCCATAAATACATACAAACTAATTTTGTGCTATTATCAATTATAATCATGTAACTTAAAAAAATAAGTAATTTATTTAAAGTTGACTATTACTCATAAAATGAAAATGATTTAATTTTTCTTGCAGTAGTGTCCCTATTATTGACAAATTGCAAGCAATCAAATAGACCTCTAATTATACATTGTCTATGTTCCAATATTAAGTTCACTAACATTTATCTGTATACCGTAGTTTTTATGATGGTCAATATACATAGAAAGTTATTGGTTCTTTAAAATGCGCGTAATTTGAATATAAAGTTTCATCAGTGATTTAATAAATAGTAATAATACATGAAGAAAAATAACAAATAAGTGAAGTGCATTATTAAAAAAATTTTTTTTAATTTTTATTTCTTATTAGTAATGAATTTTTCTATTAAGTATTATATTTAAATTTTTTTAATTTGAATTTATTTTAAAATGATTGAATTTGAAATGATAAAAAAAATTTAATCATATTACTTAAGTATATTTATATTTCATTTATTTATTTTTATATCTTTCATTACAGTATTTGGTTAATTCATTTGTATATTTTCAATTTAATTGATATTAAATCCTTTATTTTATATTCAATTAAAGGAAAGTAGAACGAAAGTTCTACTAGTGTTATTATAAATACATGCAGACGCATGCGGGCATCATAGCACGTATTCTTTTCAACAAACGCAGATATGATTAATATGATACTTTCAATCAAGTATTGCCTCAAAAATCTAAAAAAATAAGATTACATGATGAACATGTTTTTTATAGGTAAAATAGGTATCGATTATCGTACACTTATATTTGTTTAAAATTTCCAATAAAAGTTGATGAAATAGTGAAATGGATGGAAACAAGTGTCAAGAATAACATTATTAAATATTATTATACTACTAATCATTATTTACGTGAAATATTAATAAATAATTTTAAAAAGATACGAATAAAATATTTTTATTGTACTCAATTGGACATAGTGATTTGATTATTTGAGTAAATATGCGCTCTACGCTCAATTGACTTCATTCAATGATTTAATCTTTTTAAGCTTATTTATCAGTAATGTATGCATTGAAATATTTATTTAGTATAAAGTAATTAAACAATTTTAAGTTTTTGAAAATACTGTTCATTGCAGCAGAAATATTCTTATTAGTAATTAGAAAAATTAATGATTTTTTAAAAATTCACTATTATATATGCAAAAAACACTAAACATTATTTATTTTGAAATTGTAACTTATTTGAATTCCAAATTTTAAATTTCGTTTTGAAAATTCATTGCAAAGGTATTTTAATAGATCGTAATTATATAACATGAAATCATGATACAACAGCTATAGATCGGAAACACATGATTTCATTAGTGTAATACGGTACTCGTTAAGCTACCTTACAAATGGCGGCATTGAAATACGTTAAGTTTATAATTATACGCATGGCGCAAGGCTAAACCTACTGGGGAAACCTGAGTGTTTTAATATCTACGTTCTTAATTCAAGCGTGGTATTATTGTAACTTTTACTCGAAAGACCCTAATACCAAAGGCTGAGAAGACAATCGAAATAGTGAATAGTTATGGGCAACGTTCATGCTGCAAGCGCATTACCCCGATCATCGATGGGATTTCAACCGTCATCGACGAGTTTACCTCAAGATGACCCTATAAATCCGTCTACTCGCTCGTCAATGAGCTTTCAACCTTCACAAAATTCATCTGAAGATGATTTGCTAGCAACCTCTGCTGGATCTACATTTCTTGGAAATCCTGGTACAATGGAAGATTTACATAAAATGTGCAAAGGTGAATCAAGGCTAAAATTATTTATTCATTTTTTATTAAGATGTTTTACCTTAATAATTTGAAACTTTTATTTCTTTTTAATATTTAAATTTTATAAACTTTAACCAATTTATTTTATTTAATACTAACGATATGTAAGGTATCAATTATTAGTAGAAAATTAAAAATGAATTAAATAATGTAACAATCATAAAGAAATAATTATACAAAACAATGTTTTACATTATTCTCATTATAACTATTAATTTAAAAAGTAATAATTGAAATAAAAATAATTTATAAAATAATAATTTTTAAACAATTTATTCTTTTATATATATGAAATATTATCATATAGTTTTATAATTACACTTTGTATATTTTATCTCCCTTTTAGAAATATTTCCAGTAAATTTTGAGGGTGCAAAATTAATGTTAAGTAAAGGTCTTAGCAGTCATTTTCAAATTTCCCATACAATTAATATGAGTTCTTCTATTATGCCATCTGGTTATAGGTATAAAATAAATAATTTGAGATAAATTAAAATTCATTCTTAATTTAATTAAAATTCAATTTTTACATTTTTTATAACTATTATTTTTATAGATTTGGGGCAACTTATGTAGGAACAAAACAAATATCACCTTCAGATATGTTTCCTGTTTTAATAGGTGATATTGATCCAACTGGAAATCTTAACGCTAATGTAATTCATCAATTTACGAATAGAATACGAGGAAAATTAGCTACACAAGTACAAAGAAATAAATTTACAGCTGTACAAATGACAGCTGATTACCGTGGTGATTATTATACAATGTCATTAACATTAGGAAATCCTGATATTATTAATAATTCTGGTAAAGATTAAACATGTATTATATAAATATATTTAAATGCAGAAGAAAATTTCAAAATCAATATTCTGTACTATTTTTAAATTGTTTGATATAATTTGTAGGTTTACTTGTTATGCATTATCTTCAAAGTTTAACAAAAAATTTAGCACTAGGTGGGGAATTACTTTATCAACAAGGTCCTGCAGTTCCTGGAGGTTATATAGCAGTTGTATCTGCTGCTGGCCGTTATATAAATGGAAATTCTACTATAAGCGGAAGTATAGGTATATTACTAAATAATATTTACCAATATTCTTTCTTTTGAAGATTAAATACTTTAATATTTATTTTGCTCGATTTATATATTAAATTAAAAATTTTTTATAATTTATTATAAATTGATAATTGAATGTATGATAAAAAATTATACTTTTTTATTTTTAGGTCTTGCTGGTTGTCATATCTGTTATTATCAAAAAGCTAGCCAACAAATACAAGTTGGTGTAGAATTAGAAGTTAATAATAGAATACAAGAAGCAGTAACTACAATTGCTTATCAAGTAGATTTACCAAAAGCAGATATAGTTTTTAAAGGTTAACTTTTTATTTATATTTTATTTATATTGATACAAATTTTTTAATAAATTTGTATTAAAAAATTTCTTTTGATTATAATCAATTTAAAAGATGATTTATTTATTATTAATTCATATTATATTGCTTTATATTATATGTGTTTAACCGTTTTTTTAAGTTTATTTTTGTATGTAATTATATAATTACTGTAAATTAATTTTCAGGAAGTGTAGACTCAAATTGGAAAGTTGGTGGAATTCTAGAAAAAAAATTACAACCTTTGCCTTTCTCATTTTCCCTCAGTGGAGAACTAAATCATAATAAAAATCAGTTTAGGTTGGGCTGCGGTCTATTAATTGGTTAATTCTTTATTTTACAAAATGTAATATTTTTTTATGAATTACTATTGTCATAGATATCATTAAACTCCATTTCCACTTGATATAATGAATAATGTAATATAATGACTGCTTTTAATTTCAACTGTATTTTATTATATAACATAATATTTGAAATGTAATTTAAATTAAGTACAAGTTAGACAGTCTATAAGAACATTAATTTTCTGTTAATTTTCATATAAATAGATGAATAGTAAATTGAGTCAATAGATTCATGAACAAATGTAAATAGTAAAAGTGTTTTTTATTCTTTAGTTGATGCAAAAGTTCGTCTCTTATATAGCGCCAATTTATATATAAATTTAGAGTATTATCCACTTCACATATGTAGGTTTTGATGTTTGACAAAAGTAATTTAAAAAAACTTTAAAAAAATTTGAAACATTTTAAATATAATTTTTTCTAAAAAGGCACAATGCTTTGCAAAGGTATACAAAATTTTTTCCTAAAAATACACTAGCTGTTGAAATATTAGTTTTAATTGAAAGTAATTCACATAAAACAACTAAATGTTAGAGGAATTCTTGAATCAATGAATAGTTTAATGGATTACCTTCAATTATTACCAATATTTCACTTACAGAAACAATGAATAAATATTTAAAAACTTGAGCTACTTATGTCACATTAAATAGTTAATGATATATTTGCAAAACATTATGTTTTTGAGTAATAAAAATGCATTTATTGAAAATGTTATTTCTCTGTTTTTAATAATTAACACAATTTTACAATGTAATACTGTTTAATACCAGCAATAAGGTGAATTATTACATGTATTTATATAAATAAATAAACTTATACATGTATGTACATATATATGTATATATATATATATATGTTAAAATATTTCAATATGAACATTTATCACATTATTAGTGTGATTTTAGTTTAGATAAATTTTTAATTTCTCAAATGTAATATGTCGTGCATTGAAATACATCTAAATTATAAAAACAAATTTAAATATTTTATATTTGAAATATTAAATATAGTGAATTTTATGTATTATAAAAAGAATATTTTCATTTATAAGGATCTCTAAAGAAAGATACAAAACTATTTTCACAAAATTATCAAATCTTTTAAGTAAAATTATTTGATTTTTATAATTTTAATTTATAAATATTGTTAAAATTTAAAAAAAATAAAATTCTAATTTTTACACTAAATTGCTAATATTCGAATAAAAATATTTTAACTGTACTAGTACAAATTTATATATTTTCGAATAGCACAAAGAAATAAAAATAAAATTCGTTATTTATTTATTGTTTAATTTAGATATTAATTATTTTCGAAATGAAAATATTGATTAATAATAGCTACAAACGTTTGAAGTAAATATTTACCAAATATAATATCCATTAAAAATGTTTCTTTTAGCTATTAATATTTTTAAATATGATATTAAAATTTAAATAAATATTGATTGAAAGAGGTTTATGTATTTGATAATTAAAATTAAAAAAAATATAAACTATCTTGTTTTTTTTTATTTAATGAATTTGTATACACTTGTAATTATTTACTAATAATAAATATATGTAAGTAAACTTAACTTAAAAGGTCTTTAATATATTTTATATTTTCTATAATTATTTTAATTATGAAATAAAATTATTTTTAAACAATTTAATATTAAATATATATTGTTAAACAAAAAATACATTCCATTTTACATATTTTTATTAACATTTATAATTATAATAGTTATGTATATAGAATTTTATTGAATCATATTAATTTTTATATTTTTAAAGTGATAGCGTTTTCTATATTTTATTAAAAAAAATAATTGTATACATTAAAAGTTATTAAAAAATTTACTGAAAAACTTAATTATATCACTGAAGTGACTTTAATTAAAATGTAATTGCACTGACTATAATAATTAAAAGAATTATTTGCACATCGACATATGTAAGAAAAATTAAGTAAATTGCTTCTTAAAAAAGAATAGAACAGGAATTATTACTATAAATAACTTTCATTTATTACAGATTTTCAATATTTTTCAAGCCAAATCTGAATATATATATATATATATATATATATATATATATATATATATATTGGACAATATAAAAATTTTTATTTTATCACACTTTAATTTAAGCATAGAATTGAACAGGTAGGTAAAGTACATAACTGGTCAAAAAGTATACAGTATACTAAGTTATAATTATTTCATTATTTCATGTGACGATGCAAGTTCGAGAAGAATAATATAGTATCCCGAAATTAACATCTAATTATCACAAAATGCTATTCTTGTAATATTAACTATATATTTTAACAAAATTATAGTGGTATATATTTTGCACATCTAGTAGAATCTCTATAATACTACAATCAATAATTAGCGGCTAAATTAAATTAAAGTGCATATGGTTCAAGCAGTCGTTTAAATAGCTAAGCTGTTTGTTAGAAAGCAATTATCATACATTTCTGTTTTCTTATATTACTTGCTCATATATGCTCAATTGAAAGTCTAATAATTGAGACTTAAAAATCTAGCTTCTTGAAATATTTTAGCATTGATGATTAAAGCTATGCTAATCGTTCCATTTCATGAGATTATATTGGCTATTACGTTATCTTCGTCATTGATATATTTAAAGGAAATCTGAAAATATAAAATGTATCATTGTGTCTGCTATTCTGAAGAGACCTTATCTGAAGTTGATTTATAACTTACGTAAAAAAATGATTTGTTATATAAAGTCATTTTTTTAAAATTCTTTCCGTAAACTGAATTGTCATAAAACTATTTTATTAAAAAAAATAACACGATCTTTCCAGAAGGCAATGATTATTAATACCAATTGAACGATATACTTATTTATGCTTATACATGCTGTTTTACCCAATACCGTTTATATATATAAATAAATACATGTACAAATGTATAATTACTACACAAGTTTAACGTCTTAATACAAACATATTGTAAAGAAGATAATATATTATATAACATATTATGTTATACATTAAATCATTTAAATACTCGTGCACAAAAGACAATACATTATACAACACATTACAATAATAATTGGATAATATAAAACACTGATAGCTTTTATCAGAATTAATAATCCATATTGCATCCTCATATCAAGCAGCCACTCATTAAATTATTCAAATAGTCTAGAATGTTTAAAAAATGCTTTTGTAGTTTTTAAATAAGTTTATGAATTTTATAAAATAATAATTAGAAATATTTTTTTGGGACTAATATGTATTTACTTTTATAGTGATATTTTAATCTTTTTTATTTTGTTGAGTAGATTATGAACGACTTTTTACAGTAATTATAATTGTATTTTTAATGTTTACAATATTTATACTCAATGAAAATATAAGGATTAGCTATGCTATAGATCACTTGTTAAAAGATTAACTTTTAATCTTTGTACTTTGAAATTTCTGATGATCATTTTCTTTATTATTTTTTTTCTGAAATAAACATAGTATTATATATTTTATTTTTTTAGTAAAGGAAGTTTTTTTCCTATGTATAATGTATTATATTATAATATATCATTACAAAATTACCTATAAGTTCTAAAAATTTTTAAATAATTTAGTTAACGGAATAAGAAAATTATTTAGATCTACACAAAGAAAAATTGATAAAAATATAAATTTGTGCTATTTATATCATCATTTCAAATACATATTAAAAATGTAAGTTTTATTATTTACATATATTATATAAATTTTGTATATATTATATAAATATAATTTATTGTATGACAATATTTAAATTTTTTATATATATTCATAATAATTCATAATTCTATTTCAGAATATATAATTAATAAAGTAATTTTCAAATTATTGTATGAGAATTTTATTAAAAAACTATGACAATGTACAATTATATAATTCATTTCCAATCTCGGAAGTGTAGCTGATAAAATAAAATGTATTTATTTTGTAAGATTACTAATCTTATCATACATAAAGAATGGATTTAAATCTACTACAAATTGTTACATATGCAAAAAAGTTCAAAAGTAATCAGGTTTTAATTTATTGCTATCTATCAGAATAATAAATTATTAAAATAAATTATAATATTAGAATTCATTAACACTGCGCGTGTAAACATGCATTTACATTATTTATGTCATTGTCTGCTTATCATATATAACAATTACTCCAAATTTTTTAAATATTTAATAAACGACAAAATTTAATAAGACAAAATTTGCTGTTTTTATTTGATATCCTGATTTTGTTATATTTATCAATAGTTTTAAAGTAAGTAACGTGTATAAATATATTTTAGTCTTGTAAAAATAACTTTAGGTATAAACATATATATTTAATGATCTCATTTATATATCTTAAAAAAAATTTTAATTTTTTAAATTAACGCTGAATTTTTGAAAGATTAATATGCATTAAAAATATGTTAATATATATATATATATATATATATATATATATATTAAAATAAGTAGTTTATGTTTAAGCACTATAAGTTAAATAAAGATAATAAATATAATTTATATTGCAATCTTATATATTCTTGTAAATATTAAATTTGATATATCTTAATTTATTGTTGATACAATAGATTAGCTCAGGAAAAATTTACTGTAGATATTTGTAGCTATTAAATCCTCATTACTTGAATTGATGGAATACATAGCAATAACATTAATTTGCTTCTTTGATAAAATCTTTAATATAGTTTAGTATCGAACACGGTCTTATATATCTGCTTAAGAAGTTCTTTAAGAACGAGAGTTCTATTGCAGATTTGTAGTAACATTCTGAAGTAGGAGCATCCCATAATATATGAACTAATTTCGTACATAATATACGTACACGATATATCAACATCTATAGTTAATATATATTATTCAAAAAATTCATTAACTTTTTATTTATTAATGATTTTTTTTTTCATATTAAATATAATAGCAAATAATCCTTTTTACAAATATTTTTTTATTTTTATTGCTTATTGGACAATTATTAACAATTTAAAAAAAAAACTAAATCGAAAATATTGTGCTTATTTAATGATATTTATATTTATTAAGCTTCTTAATATATATTTTTTCAAATTATATAGGCAATA